CACAGGACACCGCCAATGGCGAGTCTGCTACATCTACACAGGAAGGCGCAGCCGGCAACAACGCCGCTGCTGCCTCCCGCGACGCCCTTGCAGCCGCCCTAACTCGTCAGTCGTCGGTCGGTCGTCGTCGCTCGTCAGGCAGGCCAGCGGTCCTATTGCATGTGCGTGTTCGTGTTCGTGTTGCTCGTCAATCGGACAAAGTCCATCGCTTCCCCTGGTCGCAGACCAGCCCTCGCCCAGCATCAGGCAGTCCAGACTCGCCATGCCAAGCCGTTGGCGACGCCTGCTCGCTCACGTCGACTCGCCTTGCTTCGCCCTGCCCTGCCCTGCCATTGCACCGCCCCAGCATGGCCTCCTCTGCTCTGCTCTGCTCTGCTCTGGTCTGGTCTAGCTCGCTTCTGGGGAGGGATACACGGTACAGTTCCATCCCCTCAGGGATTCGCACAGCTGCCTGCCATCGATCTCTCCGGCCGCCCAAATGTCCCTGCAGGCGGAGCGTACAAGACGCATCTCAACGGCGTTACTGAGGCCCGCGCGAATGACCTTAGAAGCAGCGCAATCCTGTCGTTGACAGTCCTTGACAGTATGCAGTATGCCTCGCTCCTGTCTGCCTGCCGCTGCTGCTACTAACACCACCTTGATGCCAGCTTGCGACCTGTCGTCATATACCATGTGTCTCTCTGACCTGAGTAAACGCCCCGGTAGCTCAGTTGGCTAGAGCGTTCGGCTTTTACTCTGATTTCACGATCAGAAAAAATGCTGATACCGAAATGTCGTGGGTTCGAGCCCCACTCGGGGCGCTCTTTCCTTTTTGCTCACTCAGCGTATCTACTCCTGACCTCAGGGGCCTACAGCAGTATAGTACACCCATCACCAATGGATACACTGCTCTATGCATCTACCTATGATTCCTACTCGTATGATCGATTGTCTGTGCTCGCCAACCTATCCGCCCCATCACACCTCCCTGATCGCAGGCTAAGTGTCCTCGAACGGCCGGATGTCCTCCAGCGCGGGCGAGCGCTTGCACTCCGCGTCCCGCCGCAGCGCCGCCTCCGCCGTCTCGCAGGGCGGCAGCTTGTGTTCCGGGCACAGCATCTGCGCGATCTCAGTGACTAGCTCGAGGAACTCGCCGAACCCGGCGTAGATGTCGTCCTCTGCGGTGGCAGCCACGGCGATGGCGGAGCCGGCGGCCTCGTCGCCGCCAGCATCGGCAGCGGCAGCGGCAGCGGTGGCGGGAGGAGTTGCAGTCGAGGAACGGGTGCCGACGCCGACGCCGACGCTGGCGCCATTGCTATTGCCATTGCTGGCCGGGAAGAACGACTTGAAGCTGGGCTTCCACTGCACGTTCTCGCCGCGGCGGGAGGTGGCGTTCTGGCCGAGCCGCTCGTCCCACGTCGTGTCGTACAGCGACGCGCCCCAGGTCGTCACCGCCGTGTCGTGCACCCGCGGCACGCCGTACACGAACGAGCCCGCCGCGTCGTACGCGCCCGCCATCGACGTGCACGCGAAAGTGTCGTCGCGCGCGATCTCCAGGATGTAGTTGGTCTGCGCGACGCGGTACCGCAGCGCCGTGCGCTCGCGAATCTGGCGCAGGTTCTGCGCGTGCTCGACGGGGAAGCTGCACCGCAGCCTGCCGGGCGCGCTGGGGTCGTCCATCTCAGACCGCTGCAGCACCACCGAGTTGGCGAACTCCTTGAGCGAGCGCGAGATGTGCGCGTTGTCCGTCGGCTCGCCCCGCAGGCTCACGTCGAGCTCCCAGTCCGACCGCTCAAAGTCGATGACGCCGACCTGCAGGATGGGCCGCTCCAGGTCCGCGGCGTCCTCGGACGCGGTCTTGAACCACGTCTTGTTGCCCCGCTCGTAGCCCCCTTGCGGCGTCGCGTTGAATTCCACGTCAAGGCGCAGGCTCGCGCTGCCCTCCTGGAAGTGGAAGGTGATGGTGTAGGACGGCAGCGTGCCTTCGAGGGAGTTGTGCCGTGGATTGAAGAGCGTCAGGAGGTCTTTGCGCTGCAGGCAGCGGGACAGCAAGGCCTGCCTGTGTTCCGTCGACAGCCTAGCCAGGGTTCTAGTCAGCATGCTGACAGCAAGGCGGGTGAGCACGTTCGGCCTGCAATTCATTGGGGTCACTCACTCGGGATCGAGATACCCCTTCGTCCGGCTCAGCAGCAACATCTTGCGGAACTCCTCGAACGTGTACCTCGTCCGCCCGTCCCGCAGCTTCTGATACTCGCGCAGAACGAACGTGCCGAACGTGACGCGCATGCGCAGATGGCCCTTGCTGTACTTGAGCGCCTGCAGCGAGCGCTGGACGCCCTCGCGCAGTCGGAATTGGTTTTTCGCGTGCAGGAACTTGGCGTCCGCCTCCCACTGGACGGGATCGTAGCCTCGTTCGGGGTCGTGCGGGCGCGGCACGTGGATCTCGCGGCCCCTGCGCGCTCGCACCTCGATGCCCACGTCCGCCCGCACGGGCGGGATCTGCACGAGGTACGCTTTCACCTTCACGTTCGTCTTGGCGAGCAGCCCCGCCCAGTGCAGTCGCAGGCCCTGCAGGATCCTGCTGATCTTGGCCGGGTCGTCGCCGTCCGCGCGAATGCAGCTGGGATTGACGTCGTCGATGTAGATGTGGCAGCCAGTGCGTTGGCGCAGATCGTCAAAGTCGCGGAGGGAGTCGCCGCCCAGGCACTCTGCCATGGGGAACTCGTCGTCCGGCCAGAGGAACAGTAGCTGGGCGGTGTCAGTGGAGGCATGGCATTGCAGAGTAGGAGGAGGCTTGACTCACCGACTCCGAGAACCTGGACGGGTTATCAGGCTTCTCACGCAGCGTCTCGAGCAGCGACTCGCGCTGCCGCTTGAACTCGGCGAGCTCGGCCTTCTGCATCGCCTTCTGGTTCGTGATGGCGAACTTCTCCCCCTTGGCGGTTACCCTCGTGCTGCCGCCGTGTGGCTGCTTGTGCGGGTGCGGATGTGGGTGTGGAGGCGGCGCGTCCGGTCTCGGAAAGAGCAGCGATCTGATGATTGCGGCGGCATCGTGGGCCTGATGTGGCGGGCCCCATATGTCGATGGTCTGCGCTGCGGCGTGAGCATGAGTAGGAGGCAGAGGCACAGGCACAGGCACAGGCCTGCTGGCGGCTGTCCACTCACATGGGCGTCGTCTCGCGGGGGAGGGACGTACGCGCCGGCCCGTTCGGTGATGTAGTTGAAGGTCTGCAGCTCCCCCGCGATGCCGGGGGGCAGGCCAGGCAGACCTCCCAGGATGCTGTACCGACGACGCTTGCCAGCACGGGTGAGTCGTCTGCCGAGACAGGCAAGGGAGGAGATAGTTGTCATGCGCACTCACAGTTCCTTCAGCTGGCTGTACTGCACCGGCAGGTCGACGGTCACTGCGGGGGCGAAGTAAGTTGGGTTAGGACCAGTACTCGAAGTCAGACTCAGGGGCTGCTGGCTCTTCGCAGACACGACGTACTCGTTGGCGGGTGTCCGCTCCTGAACGATTGTTTGCCCTGCTGTATGACGGCGTAGCCGTGGCCGTGGCCGTGACCGTGCCCCTGACCCATCCCAGAACCCTGTCCTTGCTTCGTCCTGGGCACAAACCTGCCAGGTTGGGCGGGGGCGCCATGCTCTCGCAGCTGCCGTTGCTGCTGCTGCTGCTGGGGAGTGAGTGGGCGGAGAGGCAGAGGACCGCTGAGCGGCCGCTGCTGCTGCTGCTGCTGCTGCTGCTGCTGTCGGCGCCGCTGCTGCGGGTCGGGGCTGGGCGTCTTGCGCGCGGTCTCCAGCTCAGCGACTACAAAGACCGCATCGCATCGCAGCGGGGAGAGATCAGTAGGTCAGCTTGACAAGACCAGCCCCAGCTGACGCTGACGGGGCTGGCGGGGAGATTGAGATCGGATCGCGACAGTGCTCACTCACGCTTGCTGAAGGCGTTGGCCGACTGGAACCTGGAGCGGGGGCCAGGCGAGGCAGAGCCGGGCGATGCGGGCCGCTGCTGCTTCTGCTGGTGATGGTGATGGTAGTTCTGGGAGACGGCGAGCGGCGTCCGCGACGGATGCGGCGGATGCGGCGGGGCGTACGTCGGCAGGCCCATCTGCGGTGGCGGTGGCGGGCGTCGCTGCTGCTGCTGCTGCTGTTTCTGCTGTTTCTGCTGCTGGCGCTGGCGTCTGTTGGGAGTAGATGTAGGCGTGGCGGGGGCGACGACGTGCGATGGTGCTGCTGCTGCTGGGTCAGTAGGAGTTTACATCGCACTGACCGGCCGCTTCATGTCATCACGGACGTTGGTGCCGCCAATGCAGGCGTGGCACTCAATGTTCATGAAGTCACCAAGGGCGATGA